GGTGTGGCCAGGTAGGATGCTGCCAATGTCGAGCGCCTCCGCAGCAACAAGGAAAGCAGGTGGATCCTGCACACCGGGGCCATACAACGACAAAGGCAGATGCACGGAAGCGGTTGGATGTCCTGATCCGTGGAAGAGCAAGTTGGGACGATGCAAAGCATGGCCACTAGGCCCTGCTGGCGCGACATGTGCAGATGCTCTCGATTGAACACCACCTGCCTCTGGAGCAAACACCCCCGCTCCTGGTGCACGAAACCTCTGGAGATGCATCCCGGGTGGAAAACCCGAGGGCACAAACAGCTGTTCTCCTGATGTCCATGCCGCTGAACTTGTGTGAAGCACAGCTGTCCTCGGAGCGTCATCCGCTGCTTGCGACCCGGTTGCATCCTGGACCTGCACACACGGCGGAAATTTGGTGAGATCCGGCCCCGGTCCCAATATATCCTAGTAGTCGTCTCCAGGCCGTACCACGCATGCGTTGATAGCAACCCCCGTGGCGGGTCCGTGCTGACCCGCTGCCGCCTTTGGAGCACCCGCGGTAGCACATGGCTGCGCCGCCGCTGCTGTAAGTGCAACGCCTACAGAAACTGGATGACCCGCTACTGCTGTAGGTACACTGGCTGCTGCCTTTGGCTGACCCGCTGCTGCTGTTGGAATAACGGCTGCTGCAATTGGCTGACCCGCTGGTGCTGTTGAAACACCGGCTTCTGCACCTGGGTGACCCGCTGCTGCTGTTGGAATAACGGCCGCTGCACCTGGCTGACCCGCTGCTGCTGGTGAAACACATGCTACATCGGTTGTTGCTGATATTGTTGTTGCTGATGTTGCTGCAGATGAGAATTGTCAGCAGCTGGAAACGCTGTTGGGTGTGATGGGCTCGTAACAGAAGACCCGTCATCGGATCGTGGAGAGCCAGACATAGTTGGAAGCTGGTAGAATCCTAAGAGGCTCGCAATACCGTACCATGTTAGAATTTGAAATGACTGAATAGGATCGTATACTTAGGATGGTAGCTTCCTGTTTTAGTGGAAGTCTTTGTATGAGTTAAAGCCAGTGTAGGAGGCTTTGTCTGGGCTAGTACCGTATGGCCCCGGATATAGGCGCCGTCCGATTAAAGGCGCCGGCGCCTCTATCTGGAGCATGGCGCTTATGGCCGGAACTCGATTATAAGCGCACCCCCTGAAAATTCTATCCTTATTATAAGCGCATCCCTTAACCTTTCATTGGAGGCATTACAAAAGATTTTACTAAACTGTCACTTTTTCTAAGCAACAACATCAAATTAAGCTAGATCTCCTAACAACAAGTTTAGCCGGGGTACTTCTACCTAACATGGATCATACAGTACCCCTCCTACTCCTCCTCGTCAGATTCGGGCTCCTGGCAGTTGTTGCCAAAAAAACCATCAGCAATGATGTCATCGTCGACATCCACTTCAGCTGTCAGCTGGCTCCGCCTGTGCGCCATGGCGAGTCCGTCCTCACTGCCGTCAAGCTGGTTGATGATGCCACAGGTGAGGAAGGCATGCTTGATGAGGTCGGTCGGCACTGCCTTCCAGGCTTGTGATACCCACCGCAGGACGACCTCTGGTGAAGGCTTCTTCAGGTTCCCTGAAACAATACGGGAGAACGGTGGAAAGCAGTTAGTGCAACAGCAAAGAATTCGGGGGGGGGGGGGGGGGGGGAGGGGAATACCGTACTCATGCCATACCTGCTGCCGTCAGCTGCTCTTGCCCCTCAGCCTCAAACCACCTCTGGTACTGCTGGCGGACCGACGCCTTAAAGCTCTTGTTGATGCAGACATCGAGCGGCTGTACCTCCGCCGTACAGCCCGACGGGATGATCGCCGGCACGCAGTTCATCTCGCGGAGCTTCTCCTTCACCTCCTCGGTGAGGTGACCGCGGTAAGAATCCAGCACCAGCATCGAGCTCTTGGCGTGTCTGCCGAACCGAGGCTTCAGGAACGGCTTCACGCCCTCCTCAAGCCAGCGAACGACGCCAGGGGAGTCCATCCACCCATTCTCGTGGCAAGCCACGGTCACATCTGCATGAAACACGCACGGGTGGTTAGAATTCGAACTCTGAAAAGAACGCAGTGACCGAGCCGTGCACCTCTTTACTTACCGGCAGGGTAATCGCCCTTCGGCAAGGTTTTGCGCTTGAAGAACACCCACGGCTTCAGCTTCCTTTCGTCCGCCGTGCACGCCAACATCACGGTCACTCTCTGCTTCTGATACCCCGCGCTCCTGATAGGCACCGAGCGAACACCCGTTTCCTCCACGGTGGTGGTGGCAGGCATCTCTAGCCAGAGCGGCGTCTGGTCCGCGTTGATGATCCACGCGGTGTCGATGCCGCGCTCACGACGCTTGGCACGCATGAACTGCCAGAAGCTCTTGCACTGCTCAGCGACATCTGCACGGCGGTGGAAGAGACGTCAGACACAGACGGAGGGCGTTAGTACGATTAAAGAAAAACAACGTGCCAAATTTAACGGGGTAATTCTCACGCGCGGCGATTTTCTGGGCAACCCGGGTCTTCATGCGGACGCTTAGATTCCATCGCCGCCGAAAGCGCTCCGACCACCTCTGGCTTCCTTTCCGCTTCTTGTCCGGGTACAGAAGCTTCATGAACTCCCGCGACCACTCCTGCAAGCGGCCGACTGACACGGCGGTTCCCTTGCGGCGCCACTCGAGTAGCTTCTCGTACACCTTCAACTCCATCGGCCGGTACCACGACGCTCGCCCGCGGCCGTGCATGCGCTTCCGAGCGGAGTGAACATCCTTGAGGAATTCCGCCGCCCGCTTCCAGTTGGTGAGACACTTCCGGTGGATTCCGCTCTCGCGAGCCAAGGCGCGCACCGACACCGCCAAGTCCATCAGAGCAACCCACTTCAACTTCTCCGCGGCGGTGTAACCTTGCCACTTGTGGTCGGTGAGCTTGTGCCTGGGAGAGGGGGGGCGGGCATCACGGTTCTGTGAAGAGGGGTGGGGTCGCTTGCGATTATTCGGAGGATAGGTTGGTATGGGCAGTTTCTCGGGTAGCCCGTCGCTTGACCAGTATTCAACGCCGTCGTCGTCATCGTCGCCCGTAACACCTTCTGGAAACACATCCTCAGCGGTGCTGCCCTGGGCGCCGCCCCCGGCGGAAGCCTCCGTGCCACCCTCGGCGCCGTCAGCGCCGCTCGCTTCCTCAGCGTCAGCAACATCATCGTCGGCGCCGACCGCAGATTCGTCCCAAGGGCAATCGTCGGGCTGTCTCCAACGTCCTCCAGAAGCGTGTTCCACTTCCACGTACTCATCTTGCGCCTTGTTGGACTCCGGTTCGGAGAGGTATTCGTCGAACGCCGATGGGAGCAGTAGCGTGAGCACGGGCTGATTGCCAGTGAGTTGCGGAGACACAGGACCCGGAGGCGGAGGAGCAGGAGGAACAGGAGGCGCAGGAGGTGCAGGAGGCGAAGGAGGAGCAGGAGGCGCAGGAGGCGCAGGAAGCCGTGGTGGCTCTGGTGGTTCTGGTGGGATACGGGAGTACCACCCGTCAGCGTCTACTCTAAACGCGGGCCTTCGCGTAGGCTTTTTCTTGAACAAGAAGTAGGTGCCGCTGAATTCCGCCATGGCTTCCGCAGCCAGGCGAGAACGACCAAGAAACTGAACGAGAAACTGAGAGAAATGGAGAACAAATGAGAGATTCAAAGGGACCCCTTCTGGTTAGCGCCTCGGGGTCCTCGTCGAGGAGAGACGGGTACCCCCTGTCTGAACCCGGAGAGGAGGTTATCGCGGCACGAAGATGCTGCGCTGGCAGGGCATTCCAGCCCCTTCTCGATGGTTCGGGTGAAATGCAGCTGCCTGCCAGCGCATGAAAGCCTGATTGGGCCGCAAGGCAAGTTTCACGTCAGCGCTGGCAGGTGCGCTGCTCATGGACGGGAGCGCGGCAGTTTTCGGCGGGATTGCATGCATTATCCCACGCGCACGTTACTCAATTGTGTTCGCCTTATTGCGTGCTTCGATTTGGTACATAAAAATAACAAATTCATTTTTGCCATGATATAAGCGCCGGCGCTTATGGCCGTTATTCAATTACAAGCGCCACCCCTAAAAAAAATGATTTATTACAGGCGCATATGCGCCTATATCCGGGGTAATATGGTATGTAAAGCCCATGGAGTGACACGTTTCAGGATCAATGTCTCTGAAATCAAGTACCGTATATTATAAAATGACAAGCATACTGAATATATAGCTAGAGTAAAGTACCTATTCGCCTATTGTACCGCGCTATTCACGCTATTCCTGTTATGAAACGGTACGTGACTATTCGTGGGGCCTACAGCTACTTGCTGACGTGACGTCATCCTATCGGTACTTTACTATTACGTGCGAAGTCTCGCACTGTACTAACTGTACTACACGAATTCCTTGAAGTGCTTAAAGCCAGGATCTCAAGTAAGAGAATTGGCCTTCAATTGCAAAACACTTGCAGCGCTTGTTACCCTATTTTTGTAGGCGAATTGACTGGCTGGTTAGGAAAGTGAGCGTGCGGCACACCCACGATTTTGCCCCTAGAGCAAATGCAAAACATTTTGCTGGTACATGAGATTGTTGTGTGTGACGAGAAATTGCAGGCATTGGAGCTTCGTCACCGAACCAGTTTCCGAGCCTTGCTTGGTTCGGACTGAACTTGCGATTTGTCTTTACTTCGCACCCCTCGCTTCACACCTCGTCAGATTGTTCACCTCGCTAACCAATCGCAGCCCAGCTCCCCTCACCAACTGCAAAACAATTGAACTACTTGAGATCCTGGCTTTAAGCCTTGATGTTATCTCAACAGAAACAAGCACACAGTCATCCTCGCTACTAGCAACTTCATTCTCAGCTGGACTGAACCATACTTGAGAAGTTTTTATGATTCACCTTACATAATTGAGTCCTTCATAAGATTTGTTTGTTGTCACTTAAAAGGTGCACATTGACAATAATTGCACGCAAACAATACGGTATATCGATTCTAGGACGACGACGAGAGAGTAAGAACAACCTGAATTTCTGAGCCTGGGTGAACGTTGTAATGTGCGAGCAATCGTCCACTGGTCATCTCGTTGCCAGCAAGGAATAGCCTCTGCTGCTCGACAGGGATGTGCTCTTGCTCTTGCACACGGGCCTTCACATCATCAACCGTGGCATTGGCATCCACTTCAATTGGGATAGTCTGACCGCCTGTCTTCACAAACACTACCATCTGGAATAGGCAAGGCAAAAACCAATGGCCGAACCGAATGAGAATGGCAACAAATCACGAATTGAGATAGGGAAGGGTGGCTGGCCAAGCGTACAAAACAAGTGCACTGGCGACAAAAATCAAGATTTGCAAACTTAATTAGTTACAAATTATGTCACACTAATAGCCACAGGAGCAGTGATGACGACTCCTAACCGTCATGATTACAAATCTTCGCCTTAAAAATATCGCGGACGCCACTATCTCTCACTCCAAGCTGCCTTACTCACCGCATCCGAGTCCCTCTTGCTAGCTAGAGAGTCTCTTCGGCTGACCGGCTGGCTGCTCACTCCATCCATACTCCGTTGAGAAGCCGACGACAGCCGTATGCCCTGCTGCCCCGATGACTGGTAATGGTGGTGATAATGGTGGAGGGGGGTGGATCGTACGGTTCAATGTGTAGGAGAAAACAGAAAGGAGTGGATAGATAGATGAAAAGGTTAGGGTGGATTCATCAATCCCCGGTTTCGCAGGTGACTGCCAAGACCAGCACTTGCTTGGAAATTCACCTGTTGAAATTTCGAAGGCACGTAATTGCTTTTCCTGAAATTTCGTTTTGAAGCTAATGCACAAATTTCGTTGTCACTCATGGTGGAAGGGCAGCAGTGCTAGTGTTTTTGCTAAAGCGTTTCACTAGCACTGCTGCCCTTCCACCATGAGTGACAACGATTTTCGTTTTGAAGCTAATGCACAAATTTCAGTCTCCATCTCCCACTCACCCGTCCGCCGGCGGGGGACACAAGGCACAGGGGGGGCGCAACAATGAACAGCTTCTCCGGCGCGCCGTCGCGCAAGAAGCGCCATACGTCCTCGTCCGCCAACTCTGTGTCGGGGGAGCTCTCCGGGAAGATGTGCAGATTCGCCGCGGAGCAGTGCGCGAGGTCGCGCGCGCGGCGGCGCTGGTGAATGGTGTCGCGCAGGGAGATAGCGACGTCCTCAGGGTCCGACTCCAGATATACCTCCACCCGATCTACCTTCCCCACACGGTCACCTGGGTGCGGCGCGCCGCTGGATGATTCGACAAATAAGTCGTACTTGACTGAAACGACCTGTCCAAGGGATGCCATAACCTTATGGGCGAATCGACAAATATAACGCAATTTTCTGGGATTCCACTTGCTGTCAAGATTATTGACGCGGGATTTTCCCGAAACGAAGAGGGAGTTCACACAAAAACGATTTATGCGAATAAAACTGGGCTGAGTTCTTCTACTGATTAGAGCTGCTACCTGGACTACCTTGGCACTAAGGCCTGCAGAGAAACTCCCGAATCTTACGCGGTGCTAGAAGAATTGGAAGAGTCACTCTGCTACGCCTGGCTTGGGTCAGATCTGGCATTCTGGCAACAAAAATGAAGAAACGGAGGGAAGAAAGGAGTTGCGAATGGACACAGATGGGTTGTTTCATCTCGGTAGTAACGAAGCGGTTGTTGGCGGAAAGGGGAAAGCTAATGCCTTTATTGGGCTAACCCAAGTTTATGTATAAGAGGTTTATCCCGAAACAGCCATAGTTACAATGAATTATAGAACCACTTGTTTGATGTGGTAACACCAGTATGTTAGGGTCTGACTTTAGTCCTCGCACAAAACATTACTTTCCTATGTGAATTTTGGTCTTCAATCATTCTCTGCAAATGACTGTCACACAGGATGTTCAACATATGGCTACAACTCTTTTTGTGGGATTTGGATTGTTTTGTTTATGTAGAAACCGCGTACTTTGATACGTGATTTCTGAGAAAACATTGCACAATGTGAGGCATATCGAAAGGTTTGCTGATTGAGGTTGATGTGTGGTGATGCAATAGGACATGCGTAAAAGGATTGTGAACTCGATGAGAGTGATGGATGATGAAAAGTTCCACTTGTCACGTGTTTATGGTGAAACAATAACCAAGCATCTATTGGTGTTTCTGCACCCGTTTGAAGGTGTCAAATTCTAGAGCTGTTCAATGCGACAAGAAAATTAGATATTCCGCGAAAAACCTGCGCTTCGTCACATCCTGCGGTTCGCATTCCTTCAGTGCTGCCCTCACTCGGAGAAAGAGACACCTTGCCAGTGTGGAGGGGACTGCTTAGTTGGGCACGAAACAGGGATACATCGGTTGGAGATGCATGCAACGTGGCGAGACTGGATATACTACGGTTAGGGGCAGTTTTGGTACCCACGATCAATGTAATCCGTGAAACCCGCTCACACTTGACCAGGAAGGTGTTGGTGAGACGCTGGGACGGAAGAAGTAATGTTGGGCAGAAAAGTGGATGTGGATTCTGCGAGGACACGATTGGCGGTGTGGGTTCAAGAACAAGGTGGCATATTTCAATTGATCTGTTGATTTTTCTAAGGTGTTGGTGAGGTGCTGGAGGTGTTCAAACCCAAGCAAGATGCATGATCAGGGCTTGTGGTATCAGGGTAAATGATATAAATGAAACTATATTTCAGAGTCATGTCTCTAAAACAGTTGGAACCTTATGTGTGGTATATGAAAAGTTCTTCGGAAATTGAGAAACACTTACAAATTTTATGTAACGTCAGTCGTTGACCCGAAACCCGAAACCTTTAGTTGCAAGTACGTCCCGAGACCCGAAATCTTTCATTGGCAACAGGCGTTTTGGAAATTCGATTGAGGTTGTATTCCTGCTAGTCCTGCCTGACTCCCATCAAATTTCCTTTGCACTGCATTCACAAAATCGCCTGACCCCCATCATTTTTGGTTTCGAAATGTCGGTGAGCAATGCCCACATATACTAGAGGAGAAGTTTGATCGTAAATCTCGATCTGGGTTCGGGCATAAACCCTCGACATTTAGGGTTACGTGTGCAGGATCTCTGGTTTCGTCCAGGTAGTTAGCGACAGCCAAATTCCATGTCTGCTTCACTCCCTCAGATGTACATTTCTAGAGCAAGAGTCTGGCCAAATTCCTCCACAGGCAAGACAAACACCCACATTTCCTAATCGGAAGGAAAACAACCCCCCCAGCCAGCAGCCATCTTCTCATTACAGACGCAGATCCACCTGCACCTCTCCGAGCAGAAGTCGTGCTTTGAGTGAGGCCACACCACACAGGTTTCGAACCCTAGTAACACAAGCGGTACCACCACCACTACCAGCAGCTGGATCAACGGAATCACCACGAACCACGAACCCCCTGAACCCCTCGATATCCTGCGTTGGAACTCCCCCTGCAATGGCTCTCTCGTTCTCGTCGCGTCGTCGCGCGCTCTGCGTCGCATTGCTGCTCGCGGTGCAGCTTTTTGCGACGGAAGTCGTCGCAACCAGCACGGTCGTGGTCATGGTATGTCCGTTCTCGAGTTGCTGCGGAATACCCCGGTCACTGACCCTTTGGTAGTGACAATCGTAGCAGCGATATTGGTAGTACTAGTGATAGTACCACTGCTAGTAATGCTACTAGTAGTATTGCTAGTATCGCAAGAGTCGCCACGGTGCAAACGTGCAGCTTGTTCAGCAAAATGTCCCCCACCCGTCCCCTCCGTAATTTCCTCCATCTGTCGGCGACGTCCGATTCTGCGTGTCGGCGTGTCAAATGGTGCCAACCCTGGATGCGAATTTGTGCCTGTTTGGCTTTTGCTAGCGTCGCATTTCGATACGCCTTTGATGTAGGTAAATTTTGGTTCCTAGCGTCGCATGTTCCTATGAAGCCAGACGATTATCGGGGTTTACCTTTTGCCGTTGAAGAATATTCAATTACTTTCTTCCCCCCCGGCCACTTTTCCGCTTCCCTTTTTACTCCTCCCCGCAGCGCGCGACTGACACCGTGAACACTCTCTGCGTCGGCCGTCGCGCTCCCAAGCTCGGCGTCGCAGCGCTCGCAGCGTTCGCACAGTCTGTCGCGGATGGCACGGATATGGGCGCGGTCTTCGAGAGCAAGAGCGACATGCCCTCCTATTTCTACGTTGGCAACTCGGCGAAGCTCAAGCGCCTGCACCGCTGCGCCGCTTCTCTCGTCTACTACTCGTACGATACGCCCGCCTCTGCCGGCGCGCGGGGATCCTTTGCGCGCATGTCTGCGCTCCCGCCAGTTGTGGCGGAGTCCGCCTTCATCTTTTCGATTTCTCCCGCTGCGCTCGACAATGCTAACGTGGAAGTGACGGTCGTCAACGACTCCCCGCGCCCGCTGACGGTTACCGGCCCGATTTCTGGCGAAATTCAGGCTACAGAGGGGACGGTCTCAGCTACAGACACGTTGGTAAGTACTGCTGCATGGCGATCCCAATAAGGGGTGGTTGAGCGTGGGGAAGCGAGCTAGTCCTGATTTGTGCGCCTCCGACTGAGCAGAGAGAAAGAGACTTCTTACTTCCTTTTCTACGCTGTTTGGCTGTGGTTCACCAATTTCACCCTTTTCACCCAATCCGTGATTTCCCCATCCCCAAATTCCAGAATGTGGATTCGGAGATCCCCCAGGTGGTGTCGGACTACCTGGTAACTGTGGCCCTGACGCAGAGCAAGAAGCTGCGAGGAACCATCATCGTGTCATCCACGCCCACCAGCAACCCCGATGGCACCCTGTACACGGCCACATACATCATCTACAAGCCGTTCCCCATCAGCGACGGCGGTATCTGCGCCACAGACGCCGACATTCCCTGCTTCACCTTTTCCTACCAGACCGCCACGTTCTTTGAACCCGCTGCAGATGCTTCATCCGCAGCAGGGGCTGAGGGCGGGGATCTGGGGCAGCAGCAGGCGCCGCCAAGGGCGATGCTGGAGGCTGGGGGGTCTGCTAGTGAGGGCGTGCAGTATACTGCTCCGGCTGCCGGCGTTGGTCACAGGAAGCTGGGGCGGGTTTTGATTGCGGATATTGCGTATCTAATGGCAAGCGATCGTGTCGTAGCTAGTGCAAGCGCTGTTAATCGCTGCTACTGGTTGGCCAACAAGCTCGTTTGCACTACCTCCTAGAAAGAAGGTCATTATGGCAACATGTTGTATTAAGAGTGCTTTGGAAACCTACATTGTTGTATATGTAATGGAAATATTTGTTTTTGCCTTCTTCGTTTATCAGTTCGGGTGTACCCTTTCCATGCAGATTATCATTCTGAAAGGGAGAATATGCCACAAGTAACCAACTTGGGACTCGATAACGTGAATGGTAAAAAAAAAACGCGTACGGTCACTGTATCGGGTTTTCTGACGGGTTTGGTAAGCGGGGTCACGGATTCAGTCACTAACAACAGGTAAAAAATCACGCGAATGGTCACACATGTAACTCCCGCCAAAAAAACTTGAAACTCAACAAAATTCCCGCTCGCGCCCAACCAATCTGCGAACTTGTAAAAAAACTAAAACCCAATCGGAATCGGATGCGGTTTGGGAACGGATCAACCCTAAACACCTTGCGAGTTACGTGTTTAGGGTTGATCATCCGAAAATGCATCCAGGTTCTTTCTGGGTTTCATTTTGTTTTGGGGGGGAGTTTCATCTGTGACCATTCGCGTTTTTTTTTACCAGCTGATTGTGACTGATTCCGTGAAACGCTTTATCAGTCGCGTGAAAACACCCTTTGCAGTGACCGTACCCTTTATTTTTTTACCAAAAATGTTTTCGAGTCCCATGATGGTTACGAACGGCGTATTTTCCCATTCTGAAATGCTGGCTTAGCCGGCGTATCTGAGGTACGTAACTGTATCCGTCATGGAAACACCAGCTGCGAATCTGCGATCCGAGCCGATGTGCTGCCTGCCATCTGGATGGGCTGGGTTGGGTTCGGTACCCTTTCCATTACGGCAATTGTGGTTTCCCCTCCAACTCGGCCCCGCGCACCCCCTCCGCTCCGCGATAATAACCCCTCCGCTGTGTACACGTGCACTGGTGTGGTGGCCCCTCCGCGCGTGCGCACCCCCTCACTCACCAATCACCTGCTATTTTGCCCCCGCGTCGTGCTGCCGCATGGTTGTACATGCCATGAACCAGGTGCCCAGCCAGCCAAACCTTTTCAGGCGGTGTGCACGGCGGTGGAGAAGGCGCTCACGCTGCACAGCGGCACGCTCATGATGCGCGGGCGTGACTCCAACACGGACCACTTCGTTGTGCGCACGCGCAAGGTCTCACACTCGCACCCGCGCATGGAGGTGCGTAGAGCAGGGCCGGCCTGAGAAATGCATGGGGGTGGAGGGTGGTCAGGATTGGCGGGGTGTGGTGACCTTTGAAGCGCCTCAAAAGGCACGACTCCAACACGGACCACTTCGTTGTGCGCACGCGCAAGGAGTCCTTGGCACACCCCATGATGGAGGAGAGTTGAGCAGGGCCCGCTAGGGAAACACATGGGGTTGGAGTGGATGGTGGAGGGTGGTGAGGGGTAGTGGGGGGTAGTGGGGGGTAGTGCAGGGTAGTGGGGTGAAGAGGGGTGCAGAGGAGTGCGCTGTGCTCCTGATGAAGCAGGTGAAGGTTCCTGGCATGGAGTGGAGGAGACACGGGCAATGTCTAGACGGCATTACTCCAGCAGGGGACTAAAGGGCCTGCTCGCAGAATTAAAGTGCACACATTTTCTAGCCAGCATAGTGCACGTTTCCTATAATGGTCCGTGTGGTAATGAATACCACACCAGTCCACACCACATCACACCACTCATCCTTCTCCGCATTCCTCTTCCCTACCTCGTTCCCCCCTTCCCTCCCTCCCCCCCACTTTCCTGTCTCTCCATGCATGCATCATGGCAGATATACCTGAAGGAGAACAACACAAGTGTGCCAGACCTCGTGGCATATGGCAACTTCAAGAAGCTTGACTTCAAGGTACAATGCGTTCCACTTCGCTTTGGGACATTGCTTGCCACAGAAGCACCTCCTCCCCCCCATCACCTCTTACCCCTTCCCCAAACCCATTCTCTGCTTTGTTCCGTACTACTTGCTTGCTCCATACTCCCCAAGCCCCTCTCTCCCTACTTGCTCTGCAATTGCTCACCCATATGCACTTGCCTTCATGCCTGTCCACCTTCTGTGTCCATTCTCCCGAGCCTTTCCTGTTTCCCCTCGTCGTCCCTCCGCCTCTCCTCAACGTTTTCCTGCATCCCCTCCCCACCCCTCAGGTGTTCAATCCAAGGCGGGTGGCGGTGGCGGAGGTGAGGATGGACCCCTTTGGCCCGCGCTCGCACCACTCACTGCTGCTGGACGTGAAGCCACAGATAGACATGGCTCTCATGGTCATGGTCCTCGTCATGGTCACTGAAACCATGATTCCTCCGCCCTCACCGCCCTCGCCAAACAACGATTGACCACTCTAGTTGCCACCGCCATGCGTCTCTTCCAGTGCAGAGCTTGTCGCATTCATGGAATACCGAAGGATAGCGTACATTGAAGGCGTTATGGTTGAATCAAATTCTGATTTAGTACAATTCTACTGTTACCAGTATGTGTTCTATGTGAAGTGACAGGCAGCCAGGGCCCTAGGTATCAGACTTTTTAGTCTGATTCAGAGTCTGTTCAGGTTTTTTTTTGTACCTAGTCTGAACTCCAAGTTTTTCTATATGTACCTTCTCTGATTTTTCAGAGTTTTTTTTTATGTATTGGCTGAAATTTCAGACGAATTTTATGAGTGTAGGCTGAGCCTCAGCCTTGTATCGGGGGTGCACTCTGAAATGGGTACTGCAGGGGTTTCCGCCAGCCTGGCGGCATGTTGCACTAACATTGTCAATCACGGGCGGGAAACGAAAAATTCCCGAGCGCGGCACCGCACAGTCGCGTTGGTACAGGAATGCTACAATCTGGTTCAATTCCAGCCAATCGCGGCAGCGCAGCAGGCAGAGTTGGCAAGATTCCTTGCCAACGCATAGCTCGCAGCGCGCTGCACCCGGACGACACCACAACCATCCACCCCACCCCACCGTCCTCCTTGCCAACGCATAGCTCGCAGCGCGCTACTACTCTCACGTCACCACATCCATCCACCCCACCCACCCAACCTTCCCTGCATACACAGCCAGGTGCCGTGCATGCAGTGACCACCAGGGAGATGAGCGGTCCAAATATGAGGACCTCTCATCTTCCTCATCGTCGCCTTTCTTGGGGGTCACTCTGCTGTGCCCTGTCTCTCTCGCTTCACATCAATTGCGTCGCCGGAAACTAATGCCGGAACCCTTGTTTTGTCAGAATCAGAACCACTAGACCATTGGGATAAAATGGCTTGTTAAGTAGCGGGTCAGTGCGCCCATAACCCCCCAGGACAACGAGCTTGTAACCCTTCCCTAGGATCAATCGGGGATCTCCAGAGGACCTCTGACACCCCCCCGCACTAGGATGCCCGAAGTGCACACACTGGGATTCGTGTTAAAATGCTAGGCAGAATCAACAAACAGGAAAGAGGGGTTTTCACTAGCATGCAGATCAGTACATATAGCAAACCCTAATTCGGGCTGTACTCGCTATAGAGTACCCCACTGCAGGCTACACAAACATCACATTCTGTCACACCCCCATAGTCAAAGTGGGGTACAATCAAAACAACAAGCAGGCAAAGCAGTAGTTCACAAGTATAAGCAAAGCTAGAGGCGGTCACAGAGGGCAAGTGAGGAGGAGGAGAAACTGTGAGGGCGGGAAGATGGGAGGCGACGGCTGAAGCTGCAGACACACAGGCAGCAGGAGTGCGCAGCACTGTCGCTACCAGGCTAAACCCGGACTACACGGCGATAGGCGCAGCTGGCTCATTGTGCTCCCAGGAGTGCACACACTGTGGCTACCGGGCGCAGAGCCCCGGACTACTCAGGCCACAGGGGGTCGTGGCTCTCTGGACTACCAGGAGTGCTCACACTGTGGCTACCGGGCGCAGAGCCCCGGACTACTCAGGCTACAGGGGGTCGTGGCTCTCTGGACTTCAGGCGCTGCGGACGACAAGTCGGCTACCTCCGGTCAACCTCCCCCAGCTGTCCCACACCCCGTTCACACACTCCCTGCTGCACCTCTAGCACTGCTCACACGCCGCCCCCCTCGAACGACTCCGACGGCTCCAACACATCCACCCCCCTCAGCGGCAGCTACAGCAGTGGGAGACGGAGGAGGAGGAGAAGGGGACGGCTCACACACACAGCACCCCCATACTCTCCACCCCCAAACCCTAACACAGGAACGCAGGCAGCAGCGGGGGTAGGGCGCAGTCAGGAGCTCGGGGGACGGCGTGCGGCAAGGGGGGAGACAGTAGGGGCCACTCACGGGCCTGGTGCAGCCCGTACAAACCGCTTGCGGGCTGCCCGAGCCGCGCGCGGGCCTGGCGCAGCCCGTACGGGCCGCGCGCTGGGCTGGCGCAGGCCGTACGGGCCGCGCGCGGGCCTGGCGCAGCCCGTACCAGCCGCGCGCGGGCTGTACGGGCCGCGTTCGGGCCTGGCGCAGCCCGTACGGGTCGCGCGCGGGCCTGGCGCAGCCCGTACGGGCCGCGCGCGGGCCTGGCGCAGGTCGCGCAGGCCGCGTCGGGCGACGGGGGGCGACGCGACGGTTCGACGGGGCAGAAAACCGCCGCGCGCCTCGGGGCGCGCGGCGGGAAGAAAAATCGCTGCGCGCCCGGAGCGCGCGGCAGGCAGGAAACAGCACGCTCCCAGGGCGCGCTACAAACAGTAGAGCAGCGGAAGCATCGGGTGGGACCCACCCATAGGATCGACCCAGGAGGGTCGACCTGCTCTGATACCATGTTAAAATGCTAGGCAGAATCAACAAACAGGAAAGAGGGGTTTTCACTAGCATGCAGTTCAGTACATATAGCAAACCCTAATTCGAGCTGTACTCGCTATAGAGTACCCCACTGCAGGCTACACAAACATCACATTCTGACAATTCGAACCCGAGACCTTCACTCTGATACCATGTCAAGATCCCAGTCACTAGACCACGGGGATAAAATGGCTTATTTGTGTAGCGGGTTTGTGCGCCCATAACCCCCCAGGCGAACGCGCCTGTAACCCCCCTAGGATCAATCGGGCATCCACAGTGCAGATCTAATGGCACCCCCCACACTGGGAGGCCCAGGACTGAGCACAGCAGCAACGGCCTACATGTGCATACACCGGGATTTGAACCCGAGATCGCTCTGATACCATGTAAGAATCCCAACCACTAGACCATTGGGATAAAGGGGCTTGTTAAGTAGCGGTTCAGTGCGCCCACAACCCCCCAGGACAACGAGCCTGTAACCCTTCCCTAGGATCAATCGGGGATTTCCAGTGGACCTTTCACATGTTTCACTAAGACTCGTGGATTCAGCTAGTGCGCTACCTGACGAAGAATAAGGTGTGATGTGATGCTATCATTTGTATTCACGTCTGTCTGCCTCCCATCACATGTTCGTGCGTTGCATGTGTGGTGTGTGCAAGAATCTGTGTTTGGTGTGGTCTGGATTTTCTGAGTGTGTGTGAATGCTATTTGGCTTGAGAAGTTATCTGAAGTGACTCCTCTGCTCGAGAGCTTCCCGACGAACTGAGAATCGCCGCGATCGGAGCAATAACGAGAAAGTTATGATCGTTTGAAGTTATGGTTGTGGTGCGGTGACTATGAGAATTTGTGGAGTGACTCCATAAAGGGTATAGACTATTTGGGGTTGGCAAATTCGTTTCCATCACTGTAGATGATGCCAGGTGGTTGGGAGAAGCCAAATCAGGTTGGCAAGTGTGGCCAAGTTGGGTGAGGTGGATGGCATGGGTTGGGAAAGTGACGAATGTCAAAGTTGGGGTGCCTATAGAGAGGGGAATTGTGTGGTATGGGGTTTCCTTGGTTGGGGACTCCCTAGGGACCTTCCCTCTCGTCCTCCTCATCCCTTTCTACCTGGTTCTTGTTTTCTCTAACTATCTTGTGTGAACTTGTGAGATAATTGTGATTGAGTTAAGTTTCTATGGCAGCATACCCCCTAGTGCGCCGAAATTCATAACTCGAGATATACTTCATTTTTTTATACGATTTAATTTGCGAAAGATAGCCACGGTTAAGGGCTACATTATACTTGAGTTTGAGAACATTCTAACGGTGGACCTTCTGTCGACGACGTTTCTTGTGACGACAACTTTTCTGTCCAGAATTATAGTTGACGATCTTGAGATATTTCGGCCCTTAATCTTCATAGACTCCGTCCTTAGTCTCTAAAAGAAGGTGCCCGGGTTTCCAGAGCAGAGGTACGGCACGTACTACAATACGTAAGTATTGGCGGTTGTAACCACCGTATTGTTGGTTTTCTCTCCTTTCCAGTCGCTAACTGCCTCTGTCTGGTTTTTGTTAAACTTATGTTTATTATATAAATTGTGCGTCCCTAGGCCCCGGTCCCGGCCGTCGCCCGTCGCCCTCAGACTCCGGCCCCCGGCCCATTGCTCGCGCCCGCCGCCCCTAGGCCCGTCGGCCCCGTTGCCCATCGCTCCCCTAGGCCCGGCCCGTCGCCCAGCGCCCCTAGGCCCGTCGGCCCCGTCGCCCGTCGCTCACCTAGGCCCGGCCCCGTCGCTCGACGCCCCTAGGCCCCGGCCCCTAGCCCGTCGCCCCTCGGCCCGTCGCCCCTCGGCCCGTCGCCCCTAGGCCCCGGCCCGTCGCCCGTCGCCCGTTGCCCCTCGGCGCGTCGCCACGGTCCTTCGCCCCTAGGCCCGTCGCCCCTAGGCTGGCCCGTCGCCCCTAGCACGGCCCGTAGGCCCGTCACTCCTAGCCCGGCCTGTCGCCCCTAGCCCACGCGCCCCGGCCCGTCGCCCGACGCCCCTACGCCCGCGACTGACGCCCCTCCGCCCCCCCCTTCTCCTCCATCCCCCTGCTGCGGGTGCAGCAGTGGGGGGGGGGGTATGGGGATGGTGGGCTCTTGGATGGTAAGGGGGTGGCCGGAATGGATCTGCAGCACCAGCCCCCCCGCCCCCCCCCCCCCCCCCCCCCCCCCCCCCCCCCGTCTCCTCCATTCCTCTGCTGCGGGTGCAGCAGTGGGGGGGAGGGGATCTGCAGCACCAGCCCCCCCGCCAACCTTTCTCCTCCATTCCCCTGCTGCGGGTGCAGCAGTGGGGGGGAGGGGATCTGCAGCACCAGCCCCCCCCCGCCCCCCCCTTCTCCTCCATCCCCCTGCTGCGGGTGCAGCAGTGGGGGGGAGGGGATCTGCAGCACCAGCCCCCCCGCCCCCCCCCCCCTTCTCCTCCATCCCTCTGCTGCGGGTGCAGCAGTGGGGGGAGGGGATCTGCAGCACCAGCCCCCCCGCCCCCCCCCTTCTCCTCCATCCCCCTGCTGCGGGTGCAGCAGTGGGGGGGAGGGTATGGGGGTGGCGGGTATGAGTAAACTGCTGCCGCCTCTCCTCCTCTCTCTCCCACTGCTGCACATGCCGCTGTGGGGGGGGAGGGTGTGGGGGAGTTGAGGGAGTGGCAGTAGGGATGCTGAGGGGTGTGACAAGGAGGTTTTGGGGAATGGGGGAAGTTGTAGGGGGGTGGGCGCAGTGAAGCCAGCAGCTCCAGTCGCCCGTGAGACCGTTGCACCAGATGCCCGTGAGCCCGTTGCTCCTGTAGCCCGTGAGTCAGTTTCTCCTGCCGCTCGCTTAGCCGCGGAGCCAGTTACTCCAGTTGCCAGTGTGCCAGTTGCTCCAGTTGCCAGTGTGCCAGTTGCTCCAGTTGCCCGAGTGCCAGCAGCTTCGGTCGCCACCCACCACCTCCTCTCCTCTCATGGTCCCTCCTCCTCTTCACTTGCCCTCTCCTTCCTTTGCTGCGCCTGGTGTACCACTTCAGGAGGTGTCCTTGTACTGGTTCCTGCAGCTAACAGTTTAGGGGGTGTGTTAAACTTATGTTTATTATATAAACTGTTTGCTGTAGTTACTGTAGTGTTTGAGTTATTTCCTATAGGTGGTGCACCTCTCTTGTTTCCTATATGTTTCCAACTTCCTAAAATGAAACCCCTCTCGATTTTCTCCTTTGCATGAACTCCCTCGACATCCTTGGCCAGCTCACACCCTAGCCATGGCTCCTACTATCTTGACAGTTTTTGTACAGGTACGGCTTCGGGGAACTAACTCAGGCAATTGCAACATGGCTCCAAACAACGCAACTGGAACACCTTCTAACGAGCCTCTTCATCGGGATCACTATGGACGAGAGCACCGACTGGCGGCGCGGCAAACACATGATTGTGTTTGCCACTTTTCTGCGCGACGGTCAAATCATGACTGAGTTCGTTGCTCACCTTACGGTTGAGAAAGCTGACGCTGCATCCCTGTGTGGTTTGTTGCTTTCCCACCACAGGCCTATCGGCGTTGATCTCCGCCGTATTTCGGGAGTGAGCACAGACGGCGCCATGGTGATGGTGGGGGGCCACAATGGTGTGGTTGCTCGACTTCGGATGCTCATCCCCAACCTGGTTTCGTTCCACTGCATTGCTCACCAGTTCGTTTGTGTTTAACGCTCATGTGGAGACGTTGGTGAGGTTTTTAATTATCTGCTAATCTTGTTTGTTTGTACGATGTGTAGAGAGGCTTTGGCTGCCAAAGCTGCTGCAGAGGCTATACCCACGTTCAACATGGTTGACGACGTCATCCGCGCCGTCCCTGAGTACCTGGGGCGATCATCACCGTTGCATCAACGGTTCATGGAGCTGCAGGAGGTCTTCACGTCCACCAATCTCGAGGTGCAAGGGATCCACGAGGTGCGGTGGCTTTCAAGGGGTGCTGCAGTCGCCCGCTTTGTCGAGGTCCTCCCTGCCATCGTGGTGATGCTATTAGAGTGGAAAGACCAGACAATGTACGAGCTTGTCACGTCCTACCGGTTTCAGTTCCTGCTACGGTTCCTCGCGGACGTTCTGGAGCTCCTCAACATCCTCTCCAAGGGTTTCCAGCAGCGAGAGGTAAGTAACTTGAGTACATGTTTTGTGTTGTTGTCTACACATGTACCCGTGTACTAACTCACTCTTGAATTTTGTGTGGTAGCTCGACTACCCCTTGGTGCATACGCAGATTTTGCGCACAACGTCTCTCTTGGACAGCCGGTACATCGACTACGGAGACGACTTCGGCGGCGGCCCCAACGAGCGGCTTTATCGCTTAATTGAAAAGCACGGACCGAAGGGGTCACCAGAGATGGTGGTGGAAGGCGCGTCGTCGGATGGGAGCCTCAACCGCTTCAAGGTCACCCTACACGAGCGCAGAGTGGCGAACTATCTTGGGCCAGGTCATTACGACGCGTGTGTGGCGCTCTGCGCCGACATGGCCGAGCTCCTCGTCCAACAGCTCCAGTCAAAGCTCGGCGACCTCGACTCTCTTTCCGGCGTGCGAATTTTCATTCCTAACTTGTGGCAACTGAATTGGGAAAGGCACGCGCGGCAGGCACAGTGCCTTGAGTGGCTGTTGTCGCTAGTCACTCTGTTTCGCGCCGATGACTCGGACGAGATTCTACCAGGTCAGTTCATGATTGCCCGCTCGTTCGACCATTGAAAACGCGTCCTTTATTAATCCCGTGCCTTGTCTTATCTTGCAGGCATTGACAAGAAGCGTGCCGTGAAGGAGCTGCGGGTTCTGTGCCCAGTCCTAGCCATAGCTCCTAAGAGCGAGCGTAAGTTCAACACGGGACTGAGTGCAATAATCAAGACACCTGACTGGCAGCAAGCGTAACCCAACCTTGTCAGACTCTGGGTGGCGATTGCAGTGCTGCCTCTCAGCACCGTCGAGTGTGAGAGAGGATTCTCTCGACAGAATCTCATCAAGACGTGGCAGAGGGGCAATATCAAGAACTGTAGGCTCAGTGATCTGTTGTGTATGTCATTGCTAGACTATGAGCTAGATGTGCATGGTGTAGTAGAGATTTGGCACAGCTACAAGAAGCGCCAGCCAGTCACAGCACCTGCTGCAAGACAAAGGGAGCCCCCAAGGGCTGGGAAGGAGCTTGTAGAGGAGCTAGTAGTTGAGCGGGCAGCTGTAGATAGTCATCTGTCAGAATCTGAGACAGATAGTTGAAATGTCGCTTTAATGAAGTATATAAGTCATGTGCCTTCAATTTGAGTGTAACTCTGAATGTTCAGCCTAAAAAACGTAGTGTTGTCTGAATTTCCAGCCTAAAAAATTCAGGCAAATCTGACTAACAGAGTTCAGAGAAGGGTGCACGCTGACCCATCAGAGTGTCCCAAAACGAATCTAGGGGCCTGCAAGCAGCATTTGCAGAACCATGTGTTGCTATAAGCGAGAATGTACATTTGCTGTGATGTTTGAAGTGTCACCTTTATGTGGAACCACTTCAATGTGTGAACTGAAACGACATTTGAACCACTAGTGAGAGCCACTGCCGAGGAGTTTTAGAGGGCCACTGCACGTTGTGTCCCAAGTCTCGTTTTCTGAGGTATGATAAGCTCATTATTTTGTATTTTGTATTTTGCTCACTCTTTGTCACAACTCATATAAGATGTACAGTTGTAAGGAATTTTCTCGCTATCCCTTACCGCGACCGCCAACATCGCGTACAGCAGCAGCCGTTGTTCGCCCGTTACTGCTAATGGGGCTTCGCCAACTTCGCGCGCACTGTTTCACCAAACCTCGCACTGCTGGAGCAGCCGAGTTGGCCTACGCTTTGGGACTAGCCCGAACCTCGCGCCAGCATAGCACTAGCTAGCTCGCATGCACCGCGTTACCGTTTGCATATTTTCGCGTATAAGTATTCGCTCATGCCTTCACTCATCCTTAGTACTCGTTGAAAACTCTAGTGCAATCCTTGCTACCTCATACTTTGTTTTTTCACTCGAAGGGATGTCAGAATGATGAACGAGAATGAATGAACTAGCAAAGAGTTGGGTACAAGTTCTAACCCTAATTGGGTTGTACCCCTTATGGGCTACCCCACTATAGCCTACACAATATAAGCTATATGTAATTTTGACACACCCCCATAGGCAAAGTGGGAAAGAACAAGTGGTCACAAGACCAGTCAAGAAAAGCAAAGAAAGCTCAGGGTGGATCACAAAGTCACCACGCAGTCCGAGCACAAGCAAAGGGCCACAAGGCCAGTTCACATGCAGAGTTATATAAAAGAGAACAAACAATACAGTGATCATACCCTAGCAAGTGTAAGCATGCAGGTATATATATAGATCACAGTACAAGCAGAGTCAAGCAGTGAGCAAGTGAAGCAAAGTAGGCACAAGGCCTAACAAAGTAGAAAATCGCTGTTGATCACCAGGCGGAAGTGCCTTGGTGAATATATCAGCAGTGTTGGCCCTAATGGCCACGTACGCAAGACAAAGCTGGCCACACTGCTGCAACTCTCGAGCAAGGAAGTATCGCAGAGCGATGTGCTTCGTTCTGTGCTCCAATCTTTGCTCCTGACACAAGGCAATCATGGCCTTGTTGTCTACGTACAGGACTGGAGGCGAACGAGGCTGCTCTCCCAAGTCAGACAGCAGGTAGGTGAGCCAGCGTAGCTCCTGTGCAGCCATGGCCCTTGCGTAGATCTCAGCCTCACAACTGGAGCTGAGAACCGAAGACGAGCAAGTAGATCGCAAGGAAACCGAGCCGGAACCAAGGCTGAAGGTGTAACCCTGTGACGACCGCTGCGTAGCTGAGTCATCAACCCAACAAGCGTCTGCGTGACGAGTGAGGACAAATGGACCCCGTCCTCCAAGCACGAGCTCCATGCCTGACGTACTGCACAGGTAACGCAGTACCCTCTTTGCAGCATCCCAGTGCACCTTTCGATGCCTACCGGGAGCCACGTAGCGAGCCAGAAGGCTGAGAGGGTACGCGAGGTCAGGTCGTGTGCACGTCATCAGGTACATGAGGCAACCCACAAGCTCTGGGTACGGACCACTCGGCTCTACGGACTCGTCCGAAGGTGGAGCTGAGAGCGAGTGGCCGGTAGACAGAGGAGTGGGCTGTGGCGAGGAGAACTGGAAGTCGAAGCGCTGAAGGACCTGGTGCACCATGTGTGACTGAGTCAGGGTGATGGTGTGCCGTGCTCCGTCCCGGGTGATCTGCAAGCCAAGATAGCTGCGCAGTTCACCTAGGTCAGTGCAGGTGTGTCTCTTCTGCAGCTCCGACTTCACAAGGGTCAGTGCCTCAGTGTCGGCACTGGCAAAGACGAGGTCGTTGACGTACACAAGGACGTAGAACGGCGGACGCGAGGTGTCGGTGCGTAGAAACAGCGACGGGTCAGCAGTAGAAGGAGCAAACCCAAGAGCCGCAAGTGTTGTCCTCAGTGTGTCGTGCCACTCACGAGGCGCCTGGCGGAGATCGTAGACTGGCCGGTGGAGGCTCCACTGGGTACCTGCAGGAAACGACCCAGTGAAGCCAGGTGGGCGGCGCAGCCAGATCTCCTCGTGCAGGCTGCCCTGCAAAAAAGCTGTGCTGAAGTCCAGAGAGTGCAACTCGTAGTCACGCTGAGCAGCGACGTGCAGCAACACCCGAAGAGTAGTCATCTTCAGGGTGGGGGAGAAGGTCCGGAAGTAGTCAACCCCCTGTCGCTGTCTGATGTTGGAATCACTGAACAGGAATGAATGAACTAGCAATGAAAAGAGTACAAGTACCTAACCCTAGAATTGTGTACCCCCTATAGGCTAACCCACTGTAGCCTAAACTAACACAACATATATAATGTTTGACACACCCCCATAGGCAAAGTGGGGGAGAACTAGGGGTCACAAGACCAGTCAAGGCAAAGCAAGGCAAAACAAGCTCAGGGTGGATCTCAAGGATACCACACAAATTCCGAGCACAAGCAAGTGGTCACAAGACCAGTTCACATGCAGGTTTATATATAGAGATCACAGTACAACAGACTCAAGAAGTAAGCAAGTGAGGTCCAGTAGGCACAAGGCCTAGAAGAGTGCAAAGGCGCTGATGGTCACAAGGCTGAAGCGCCTTGGTGAACACATCAGCAGTGTTGGCCTCAGAGGCCACGTAACGCAGGCGAAGCTGACCACGCTGCTGCAGCTCTCGAGCGAGGAAGTAACGCAGAGCAATGTGCTTCGTTCTGTGCTCCAGTCTGTGCTCCTCACACAAGGCAATGGCTGCCTTGTTGTCGACGTACAGCACTGGAGGAGAACGAGGCTGCTCTCCAAGGTCGGTCAGCAAGTAGGTGAGCCAGCGTAGCTCCTGGGCCGCCATGGCTGTGGCGTAGATCTCAGCCTCACAACTGGAGCTGAGAACAGAAGAAGAGCGAGTAGAACGCCAAGAAACAGAACCAGAGCCAAGACTGAAGGAGTAACCCTGAGACGACCGCTGAGTAGCCTGGTCGTCTGCCCAAGAAGCGTCTGAGTGCCCAGTGAGAACAACTGGGACTCGCCCTCCAAGCACTAGCCCCATGCCCGACGTACTACACAAGTAGCGCAACACCCTCTTAGCTGCATCCATGTGCTCCTTCCGGTGACGGCCGGGAGCGACATAGCGTGCAAGAATGCTGAGAGGGTATGCAAGGTCTGGTCGAGTGCAGGTCATCAGGTACATGAGGCAACCCACAAGCTCTGGATACGGGCCGCTCGGCTCTACGGACTCATCCGAAGGCAGAGCTGAGAGCGAGTGACCGGTAGGCAGAGGAGTGGGCTGAGGCGAGGAGTACGTGAAGCGGAAGCGCTGAAGGACCTGCTGCACCATGTGTGACTGAGTCAAGGTGATGGTGCGGCGTGCTCTGTCCCGGGTGATCCGCAAGCCAAGATAGCTTGTCAGTTCACCCAGGTCTGTGCACGTGTGTCTCTTCTGCAGCTCCGACTTCACGTGGGCGAGTGCCACAGTGTCAGCAGTAGCAAAGACCAAGTCGTCGACGTACACAAGGACGTAGAACGGCGGCAGTGAGGTGTCGGTGCGTAGAAACAGCGACGGGTCAGCAGTAGAAGGCGCGAACCCAAGAGCCGCAAGCGTAGTCCTCAGTGTGTCGTGCCACTCACGAGGCGCCTGGCGGAGACCGTAGACTGGCCGTCGGAGGCTCCACTGGGTACCAGGAGGGAACGACCCAGTGAAGCCAGGTGGACGGCGCAGCCAGATCTCCTCGTGCAGGCTGCCCTGCAGGAAAGCAGTGCTGAAGTCAAGCGAGTGGAGCTCGTAGTCACGCTGAGCGGCGACGTGCAGCAGAACCCGAAGAGTGGTCATCTTCAGGGTCGGGGAGAAGGTCTGGAAGAAGTCAACTCCCTCGCGCTGACTGAAGCCTCGTGCAACGTAACGCGCCTTGAAGACAGGCGGAGAACCCGGCGGCCGCTTCACCCTGAAAATCCACATGCCACTGACGATGTTCGCCCCAGGCGGGGGAACCTCGTCGACGTAGGTGCCTGTGGACTTCCAGGAAGCCATCTCTGTGTCCATGGCTGACTGCCACTGAGAGGAGTAGGGACCGGCCATCGCCTCTGCGTAAGAGCGTGGGGTCGGGATGTCTGGTGCATCCGGGTCTCCCTCAGGGGCAACAAGCATGGACACGAGATGGGGCAAAGCGGCAGCAAAGCACTGGAACTCCTCCTGCCTGT